TACAAAATTTATGAAGATTCCACCTCTTTAATTGTGTGGCTTGTGCCATTTATTAGTTTAATTATGGTACATCATAGAGGGATTGAGGATCACTGACCAAATGTTGTGGAATTTTTTATTGACTGGTTTTTGTAAGATTTCTAAATGGCTGTATTCATCACTTCACTTGATGAGTGTTTCCAGAATTTCTGTGACATCCAGTGGCTGAGTGATTACAGAATTTCTGTGACAACTTTTAACTGCGAATGATCACAGAATTTCTGCAACATCCAGTGTTTAAGTGGTCACAGAATTTCTGGGACACCTTGTGACTGAGTGATTGCAGAATTTCTTTGATAACTTGTGACTGAGTGATGGCAGAATTTCTGCGACATCCAGTGGTTGAGTGGTTGCAGAATTTCTGCAACAACTTGTGACTGAGGGGTCACAGAATTTCTGCGACAACTTGTGACTGAGCGATCGCAGAATTTTTGCAGCATCCAGTAGTTGAGTGGTTGCAGAATTCCTGCGACAACTTGTGACTGAGTGATTGCAGAATTTCTGCGACATCCAGCGCTTGAGTGGTCGTAGAATTTCTGCGACAACTTACACAGGACGATATATCAAGAATCCGTATACGGAAACATGAAAGAAGTTTGTGAAAACGTTGCGGAAACACGACGGGTAACACGTGTTTCCGCTGCCGGTTTGGTGACGTTTACTCGTGTTTCCGTTGCTGCGGTAACAACGGAACCGAACCACTTTTTTACATGTTTCCGTCAGGTTTCAGTTGAAGGAAATAAATGTTTCCGCATATTTAACTTAATGTTTACATGTGCGAAAATACGAGGTAACGTTCCGGAAACAGGAATTTTTTATATATCCGTCAGACCGAAACGTTCACGGAAATACAAGGTTACGTTTCGGAAACACGTTTTCGTCTTGTTTCCGTTGACGTAATAAGGCAGAATGTCGAATTATGACTGGGTGATCACAGAATTTTTGCGACATCCATGGTTGGGTGGTTGCAGAATTTCTGCGACAACATGGGACTGAGTGATCGCAGAATTTCTGCGACATCTAGTGACTGAGTAGTTGCAGAATCTCTGCAACATCTAGTGGCTGAGTGGTCGCAGAATTTCTGGGACATCTAGTGACTGAGTGGTCGCAGAATTTCTGTGACGTCAGGTGACTGGTTGCAGAATTTCTACGAATCCATTTACCGAATGGTTGCAGATTACCTCTGCATCTTTCCATGGTCGACTCTTAACACATAGTTTTTTACGGACAAGCTCAATCTTGCAGGGGAAAATAAATATTTTTAATCTTTGTAAGATTTTCTCCGCAAACTTTGATCAATTTAGGTATTTTTCCTAAACATGCAGAGGAAAACTATTGATTTATAAAAACATGGGCTATTTTGGAAAACACAAAATAATTTGGAAAGCGTTTTATGCTTTTGTGTACGAAACAACAATGCATGCACAACAACTTACGAATTCAAAAAATAGGGAAATAGCATCTATACCTGTAGAGCTAACAACTGCTGTAGTAATGGGAGCTTCTGTATCTTCCGACTCGGGAAACACATTTACTTTGATATCAATTTGACGGGAACAGGCTGGCACGCCAAGATCTCGTGCGACCACGACCAAAGCATACTTTTTAGCCCTCAGCTCTCCGGTCACTGAGAGGACGCCATTTTCTCCACCCACTGAAAAAGCTTTATCAAAGTTACTTGATGTTGATATGCTGTACCTTATCTCTCCATTGAGGCCGCTATCATTATCGGTAGCGGATACCTTTGTCAGAAGAGTTCCTGGAGAAGTATGCTGGGAGATTTGAAACCAGTTTGTTGGAGCTGAGTTAAAAATCGGGCAGTTGTCATTGACGTCGACAATATGGATGTAAGTGAACACAGAGCTTGACTTCCGTGGAGTACCATTGTCTGAAACCATGATCTTCAGCTTGAACACGCGAGGAGAGTAACTTTCATAATCAAACACCGAGGATGTAAGAATTTCACCCGATATGCTATCGATTGTGAAAGCAAGGTTTACGCCATTGCTGCTGTCTATCGAGAACAGAAGCTGCGCATTTCGACCTGTGTCGGCATCATTCGCATGAACTTGGAGAACCTTTGTTCCCAGGGCACTGTTCTCCAGGACAGAGGCGTTATACAGCGACGCAGCAAAAACCGGAGTGTGTACGTTCGGTTTAGCCGTTGTGTTACATGCGGCACCGTCAAATCCAGGGTAGCATTCGCAGGTGTTCGGTAAAATGCAGTCACCTCTATTAGATCACTGATTTACACTGGAACAATCGGCCTTGCTACACGCTGGACCATGCCACAGAGGATGGCAGGCGCATGTGTCGTATCTAATACAAATGCCATTACCTAGAGAAGATTGAAAGGTTTGCAATTCAACGAAAACTTTTAAAGTTGGCTATCTACAATCCATGTTTACACTATCTACCCTTTTCCATTTTTATTTATTTCTCGTTTGCTCTTATCTCGAGTTTTCGTCTGCTCCAGGAAAACATTCTGGTGGAACTAAACCTCAGTGCGGTACAATTTGATAAGATAGACATAATTTGATGCTACTATGGTTTAAGAGAATTACAATTCATAGATCGACCCAACTTTTCGACATTCCTCTCTAATGCCTTCATCAGGAGGGGTCTGACAAAGTGTAAATAGGTTAGATTAATACAAAAAAGCTAGCAAACAATGACTCGTCTACTTTTCCCAAATCTGAACGTTATTTTATTGAGGGATTGCAGTTAGCTCGCCTAAAAGTAAACGACGTTTCATCTTACCTGAACAATAATTGACACCTTCACACGACACATTTGAGCAATCTTCCCCACTATACCCCGTGTTACATTTGCAGAAGTTCGCTTCAAGGCATACACCATGACCAGAACAATTGTTCAGCAGCGGACACGAGGCAACGTTGCAATTTGAACCCCTAAAACCAGCATAGCACCTGACATAACAGAAAAAAATATTATAAAAAGATATTAATTAAAAGGAGACAATTCAAGGTTGGTGGAAATGGGTGGAGAGGAAAGAACGTATGGTGAAGGTTAGTAGGGTAGAAGAGGTTAGGCAACAGGAATTCACTTTGAAAAAAAAAAGAACTATCTAACAAACGTTTACCTGCAAGTGAGATTCACATCATTTTCCTCTTGCATACAGACTCCGTTTCCATTACAATTATCAAGATTGGCACAGCTTACTAAGTCACTGCAGTTTGCACCTTGGAATCCAGGGTAACAACGACACGTGTTACTTGACACACACTCGCCTTGACCAGAACATTGGTTTACGCCTGCGCAGTCAGGAAGAGCACAGCTGACTCCTGTCCAGCCAGCATTGCAGTCGCACTTATAGAGAGCAACACAGCGTCCATGATCTAACAGCAACGCAATAGCAAACAAAATGAGTGAAGGATGCAAAAATAAATAGCTAAATCAATAACTCAATAAACAAAATTAAGTGAAAAACTGAGGAAGACGTGGAAGAAGTTAAGATCGTAAAACGAAAAACCAAAATGGACCAAGTTCAGATTTACAAACATCATTGCAATGTTTATTTCTCGTACTAGAGCAGTGTTCGAGGGATCCACAAGAGAACTGGGTACAGTCATCCCCAGTCCAGTCTCTGTTACATTTGCATACGTCATAGTCAATGCAGATTCCTCTTCCAGAGCAATGAGACACTTTGGAACAAGTTGGAATTACACTGCAGTCCTGACCTAAAGAGAAAAAACGTATTGTGAGAATCTAAGTCATGATTTTGTCTAAAAATAGAACGAAAAAGCTTGAAAATAGCTAAGCTAGTTCTTAAAGAAGTTAACATGTATAAATTAATCAAGTAGATGTCAGTTGTTGTCTGTGAATATGTTAAACTCTTGTTTTCTGTTGAGATGGAAAGTTTTTGTAAGCAAGCAGACACGTGTCCTTGTTATCACGCGCATCTAAGGATTGAAGACTATATATGATTAAAGTTTAAAACTAACTTACCAATGTATCCGTCGTGACAGCGACACTGATCCGTCCTCTGACATATTCCGTTGTTTGCACTTGTGCAATTATTGACGCTGTAACATGTGGCTGTAAGGTGAAATCATGTTGAAATAATTTTTCAAAGTATGGAAATAATGACTTGCATGATTAACGTAAACACTGCGTTTGAAGAAGATGAATTCGCAGTTTTAGCCAAAGCACTCTCAAACCTTAATTTGTGCTCTTGTTTGTAAAATGAAACGTTTTCGTTTAAAAACGAATTTTTCCATGGAGTTGGTAACTGAGCCCCTGACACTTACCCTTCTGGTCACAAGTTACTCCTTCCCAGCCATCATCACATTCACAAAATCCTTTCACGCATCTTCCGTGTTCCATGTTACAGTCCGAGCAGTTGCCTGAAAAAAGGTGAACGACTTTTAGTAAACTAAGACATAACAAATTCAAAACGCAGCTTTAAAACGGTTTTACAGCCCTCTGATGGTTAAACGTACCTAACTGACAGCTTTCTCCAGACCAACCAATCATACATTGACAAGTTGAGTTGACACATCTACCCTTTCCAGAACACTGATCAGGACAGCCTTGTAGATAAAAAGAGAATCAAATAAAGGAAGTAAAAATTTAACCTCCAAGAATTGTTGTCGCTTTTTCGGTAATTGTCCATCTAAAGAAGAGTTGCATCGTTCAGAGAAGAGAAAAGTTTGGTGATTCAAAACAATGTGGTGTTTTTCAACAACTGTACTTCTAATAAGCTTGAAATTTGGCTCGTAGGTGCCACAGACATATAAACTAATTCCGTTCAAAATTATCCAATTATCTGAGGTTGAAAACTTCTGTCCAAAGTATCTTTCAAACAAAACAAAAAAAACCTTCGTTTATGGTCCCGCAATGTCATAGAGATGCAACTCTAAGCCAGTTCTAATTAAACTCTCCCTTCATTAGAACTAACCCTGCTGCAGAATCTCTTGTTCTGTTAGTGACGAGTCATTCGTGACGGCTAGGTCATAAATACAGTTTTGCAAAATTGTATCGGAAAGACCCAGCGACAAGCAGGCTTTGGTAGCTTCCTAGAGTGCAATAGGTGGGTAAGAATTCGAATTAGTAATTTCACTTCAGCAGTATAACCAATTTCGTTAAAGTGCAAACTGAAAGAAACAGAGAACTCGTTCGATAATTTCGCTCTTTGTACGTGCTCAAAACTTCAAACTCAATGATAAAATTTACATTACCGCTGAAAGTGTCCCTTATTTAGGTAAAAGAGAAGAATTATAAGGATAAGTGTAAATTTATGTTTATGGTTCGAACCGAGATTTTTCGGTTGGAGATATTTGGGACACCATTGTTAATAAATTCGTATGGGCTATCAGATCGTTGAAAAGTTATACGCTGTAGGAACAATAATGGAAACCATTTACGTAGGTTTTTTCCAAGACATCAACGTAAACCTTTACGATAAGCGTTTGAAATTATTTCAAACTCAACCCAAGAATAAAGACAGTAAAAGCCTCATACTTCAACAATGACTTTATCAATGCCATCTAAAGAATACATGGGAACGTGGTTAGGGTCGTGGTAAGAATAATCCATGACGTCAGCACTGTGAAAATTTGATGAGTTCCATGACCACGTTGCTTGAAGACCGGAGACTTTGTGGACGGTGGTTATACGCCCTAGGTTGTTAAAAAGCTTGCTTTTAGAAGAAAAATCAAACTCTATAGTAACAGTAATCAAAGTTTAATGTCTTTACGTGGGGCATGGTTACCCATATTGCCCGAGCCAGAGGCTCATGTATGAAACGCAAGACAACAACCCACCCATCCCACCCCAGGGGAGGACATCCATCACACAGTAATCTCGTGCGTGGGAAATTAACGTCTCCTACCCCTAACCCTGCAGGAGACGGGACCTCCATTTATTCGTCCCTATCCGAGAAGACTAGAATATCTAAACCATTTCTTGATGTTATAGAAAGGCAGCATATTCTTCTCAATTATTTTAAGACCTTGAGTGTTGGTCCGGCCGGGGCTCGAACCCTCGACCTCCCGCACATCAGTCCAGCGCTCTATCCATTGAGCTAACCGGGAGGCGGTTA